AAAAAAAAAAAAAAAAAAAAAAAAAAACTTTGCCAACCCGTTCTCACTATCTTTTTTTAGCAGCTCTGACACCAGTGGAGGCATTCGAAAGTGATAGGCGACTGGGGTCCCCTCCCCTTGTTTGAACTCTTCTTTTATGTACGTTGCTTTCGCCTTTGCCCTCTCATCCTCAACTCAACTTGCTGGACCGAAGAAGATGGTTGCCTTCTTCGCCTTATGACGTCACCCCTTGTGCCATGGGCCAAAAACACCCACACACCCACACGAACACACTTTGTACTGTATGTAATAACAAAATGAAGAAAAACACGCTCCCTCGCTCGAACTTCTTGGAATCGTTCACGTGACTCCCCTCCCTTGACGATCTTTAAGAAGGTTTGCTGTCACTCGCAGACTTGTTTGTGTCCAGCCATGAGGGTAAAGGCTCATGCCACCCTTTCCAGCTGTTTAGGCGTTAGGGTCGGCTTGATTGAACCTTGTCGTCGTCCGACAGACAGCTCGACCAAGCGTAGCGGTGAGAGGGTGTCAGTAAGCTTTGAAACAAGTGATTCGACCACTTTGCAGGCAGGTCCTCTTTGAAAAGTCGACTCAGGTCCATATGAGCAAAGCCAGTTTGTGTGACAATGGGACTCGGTGTTCACTTGGGCTGTCCCGCCCTCAGGCTCAGGATTCAGACAAGAGTAATCGCATACTGTATGTACTGTACTGTACAGTACATATGTACACATACCGTCCCAAGTGTGTGTCTGATGATTAGTTGGAGAGGGGACGTCTTTCTTGGTCGCGGTTCAGTCTCTCACAGAATTAATTCCCCCAGCCTCATCGGGTCGATATCGGTGATCTTGGGTGACGAGTTCTAACATTAGGTAATCACCTTCTTGGTGGGGGGGAGGAGATGGTAGCAGGCACAAGACACAAGCCAGATCTTCTCTGATTTTCCCTTGTTTCCTTCACTGCTCCCTCCCGCCTTCACACTTCTCTTTCTCTTTCTTTCCCCTTCTTTTTGTTTTTGGACCTTGCTTTCGTGTCTCGTGCCCTCCCCGCCTTCTCGCCTCTTTCCACCCTCCTCAGCACCCGTCAGCCCCTTCTCCCGCCTTCCCCCTTCTAACCTGACGTTCTTCCTTTCCCAACTCATCCCCAAGCTCCTGCCTTTCGCTCCTTTCCTTGGATTTTCTTCAATCCAAACCTGGCCATCGATCCATCATCAATCACTAGCGCCAGCCATCTTTCAACTCCCTCCCTCCCTCCCTCTCTTCTCTCTCTGCTTCTCTGCAGCTCTTCCTTTCTGCCACAAAAGTGCATACTGACAGGTCACAGTCAGAGCGGGTGCATACATTCACATTGTACCCTACTGTACAACATAGACACGGTTGAACATCTAGCACGATTCATTCGTACTGCGCATCCATAAACGAGGCCAACGCACACACACCTCACACTCGTCTCTGCATCCCAAAAGGACACCTTTACCCCCGTTCAGCTCACCGACGTACCGGCGGGCAACGCTCCCACGGGCAAGGTCAAGTTGCTCTCTTTTCCTAGTTTCTGAACAATCCAAAGTGCCACTAGGATCGATCCTCTTGGCACCTTCTCTTCCGACGACGCAACCACCGGCCCATCCTATTTATTTTGATATCTTTTTTTGATATCTTTCATTATCCAGCAAGTCTCCATTTGCGCCTCTCACCTTTCCCTTCCGACCGCTCTTGCTCAACCCAGCCTATTTCTCAGGGGTCCGGATCGGAGAAAGACTTTTGATCCCAAAATCGGCCACACTCACCATACACTGCTCTCACTGCCCAGCAAGTTTCCCGGAACAATCGTTCCTGACTTCCAAAATCCTTCTCGGAGCCAGTTAGAGGAACCATCATCGCTATCCCGTCCTCACCTTTCATCTTCAACTCTCCTCCCTTTCGTGTAAAACCCCATCAACCATCATGAGCTCAAGTGAATCCTCTTCTAGCGCAAAAGCATCGCCCTTATCCTCTCCTAACCCCTCCCTCTCCTCGATCGCGACCACAGCAGACGTGTCTGTTGACCAAGCCTCTGCCACCCTCGCCGATCTTCCGCCAAGTCCGACAAAGGCCGAGATTGCCCTTCCCGTCCACGAGCGCAAGCAGAGAGCCCTCGAGCTCAAGGACCAAGGGAACAAGCTCTTCCTTGCGGCCAAGTTTGAGGAGGCGAAGGAAAAGTACGGCCAGGCCATCGCCCTAGACCCTAGTGTTCCCGCTTTTTGGAGCAACAGGGCCGCATGCGAGCTCAAACTCGAGCAGCATGGGCTCGCCATAGAGGACGCCACCAAGGCGATTGCGCTCGACTCAAAGTTCTCCAAAGCTTACTATCGAAGGGCTTCAGCACACCTCTCCATCCTAGACCCGAAAGCCGCGCTTCCGGACCTCAAGATAGTGGCTTCGCTCGAGCCAAAGAATGCCACCATCAGGTCACAGCTCGACGCTACCGTCAAGCTCATCAGGAGGCTAGAATTCGAGAAGGCGATCAAGGTGGAGGAAGGTGCAAAGCCGAGCCAGACGATCGAGGATCACCTCCGGGAGGGGACCGGCGGCACTTCAGTGAGGCCAGATTACGACGGCCCAAGGCTGAGGGAAGGTGGCAAGGTGGGGGAAGAGCATCTCGGTCAGATCGATGAGGAATTTGTGAAGGAATTGATCAAGTTCTTCGAAAAAGGTGGAAGGCTGCCGAACAAGTATGCGTGGCAGATCATCCTAGGGGCCCACCGCGAATTCGTGAAGGAGGGCGCACTGGTTGACTACGCAATCCCCGAATCCCAGGCGATCGACGTCGTCGGCGACACGCACGGTCAGTTCTACGACTTTATCCACCTCTTGACCTTGACCGGACCGCCCTCTCCGACACATGCCGTGCTGTTCAACGGTGACTTCGTCGACCGAGGGTCCTGGTCGGTCGAGATTGCGCTCACCATCTTCGCCTACAAATGGCTCTATCCTCGGTCAACGCTCGTCAACCGCGGCAATCACGAGACAAACGACATGAACAAGGTCTACGGCTTTGAAGGCGAGTGCAAGGCCAAGTTTGGAGGCGAAATCACCTTCAAGCTCTTCACAGAGGTGTTCGTCTCCCTCCCGCTCTCCACGCTGATCACGGCTCCGCGCGAACCGCTCCAAGGCCAAGACCTCCCTGCTTCCGTCAGCAAAGCCCAAAAGTCGCCCGTTCTCGATAAGGAGACAGGGCGGAAGCGCTTTTTTGTCGTCCACGGCGGCCTCTTCAGCAAGGACAACGTCACCCTCGACGACATCCGGGCGATCGACAGGTTCAAGGTTGGGCAGCCTGGTCAGGAGGGGTTAATGATGGAGCTCCTCTGGAGCGATCCACAAGCGGCCCGGGGCAGGGGGCCGAGCAAGAGGGGAGTCGGGCTCGGCTTCGGACCCGACATCACTAGAGCTTGGTGTGAGCTCAACGGCATCACCGCCGTCCTGAGAAGTCACGAGGTGAGGCAGGGTGGGTACGCCGAGGAGCACGACGGCATGTGCTGCACTGTCTTCTCGGCGCCCAACTACTGCGACTCGGTAGGCAATAAAGGCGCTTTCGCCAGGATCGACGACCAAGGAACCATGAACTGGACGACTTTCGATGCGCAACCTCATCCTAACATCAAGCCCATGGCCTACGCTGGAGGCGCCATGGGAGGAATGCTTGCTTAGATATCAAATTTACTTCCACTCCTTTTCAGTCTCAAGCCTAGCCAGCGCAGACGTTGAAGGGGTGTTGGTGGAACCCATCTTCTCCCATTCAGTCACTTCTGCCCCCCGCACCCCCTTTCCTCCTTTTTTTTCTAGAACTCAGCATCGCCGGAGTCTGGAACAAATAGAACCACCTGGCATGTGAGGAGCTCAAGAAGCCCATTTCCCCCCTTCTCCATCTTTGGCTTTCTTCCTTCCCTTCAGGAATTACCAGGCTGGCAAGTGTGTGAATTCATCGGGTACACAACGGCCATGGAAGCGTTCACGTACCTAGTGCTTGACGGTTTTCTAAGCCTGGTCATGTCAGGTTGGACCAAACATATCTGGTGAATGACAACGCGGCTCATCGCCAAATTATGATACTTCCATGGGTTTAACGGTCCCTTGGAAAGTTCGAATATGGGATCTGCGGTCGACTTCTCCAACAAATGGCTCACAGATAGCACCAGAAGTGGAGAGGATGGTGGAATCTCTGCAGTGGGACGACTGGTGATACCGACTGATAACGAAGACGTTTACTGTGTGGAAGCTCGTCTGTTGGCTCTTTCTTGAGGTCACTGAGTAGGTGATACCCTTGGTCAGGCAACACTACGTGTGTGCAAGATTTCCGTCGCAGATCCGCTGGGGAACTTCTTTTGGGTTTCCATCGTTCTGTTCACAAAGGAGAGAGTGACTTCCAGGGCTTGCTGTGAGGCCTCCTATTTCGTTGCTCTAAAGTTGATACTACCCTCACAATTTTTAGAGGGAAGTCAGAGCCATACCTCGCTTCGCGCTGCTTATGGTCAAACTTTAACTGTCTGCCTCGACTGTTGAGAAAGAAAATCAACGTGGAGCCTAGCAGGGTGGTTCAGTGTTATTCCGAGATGTTCGAGGCCGAAAACGGATCGATCGCATCCAAGGCGACGGCGGGGAAAGGGAATCTTGTGGGCGAAAGATGGCAATCCCGACGCAAGTCAGCAAGGAGAAGGGTACGTCAATCCCCACAAGTGGGCTTTCAGTCATATTTAAAGATCATATATATTTGATTTTACACCGCTCTCCGGATGTAACTTTATCCCGTTAGCTCAGCTGGTTTAGAGCCTGTTGCTTATAATATCGTGTGTTATCTTCCAGATAAACAGCGTGTATGCGTCACCACATGGTCGCCGGTTCGAATCCGGCACGGGATACCTTTTTTTCCCTTTTCCTCACGTTATGCAAGTATCAGACTGCCTGTTGCCCTGCAAATCCGTCAACCCTCAACTTACAAGTACGAAAAGAGAAAAATTACAGCGAATTTTGCTGTCCGACGCTAGAGAGGCTTCTGAGTAGCTAACAAGAAGTCGGGCAAGTCTCATAAAATTTTGTTTGCATACGAAGTTATCATCGACATCAGTATCGTTCATTATCGAAAAATGGAACTAATGAAGAATCGAAAGATTGGCAGCAAGGGTTCACAACTGCGGTGCAGATGCACACTTAAGTCTTGCGGTGGAATGAACTTGGTGAGACTGATCTACTTCCACACTAGCGCAGTCAAGGTTGGTGGCAGAGTAACTTTGCGTGGGTAGAGCACATTTCGCCACAGGCAAAATCCAGGGAGGACTCCATTCTGATCCGTCCTTTGATTATTCGATCTCGTCGTGAGATCTGCAGTGACCAGACGAAAGATGAGCTGACCTCGCATCTCGACGTGTTTCTTCTCTTGTTTCATCCTGTTCGTTTCTTAGTACGGATTCCCCCTTGCGTTGGCTCACAGCTCAACCCATGTAGATAAAAGTATCTCACATCACTTGGTACAACCACATTGTCAATCGATATTACTCTACCGGATCACTTTCCGAGCTCAATCGACTCGACCCGCAACCGGGTGTAGGGCTGCTTGTGAGTGATCGTCTTCCTGTAGCCTTTTCGCCTCTTCTTCTTCAGGATTCTCTCCATGTTGCCCTTGGTATGCTCGGCGACAACGCAACGAACCTTGACTGCTTGCGGACCAAGGACGGAACCGACGTGCGCAAGCCCCGACGGGGCAAGTTGGGCGGCCCATGACGACGCGAGCGCTGATTTTTGCCTTCTCGTGTTGAGCGAGTTTTGGGCTCTAAGCGTGTAGTCCCGGCTGCCGACTTCGTGGATTCTGTCCAGCTCGATCACGTCCCCGACTTTGACGTCGCGGAGCTTTGGTACCGTCAAGAGGTCTCTCGGTGCCAAAACGTAAGTCCTCCCAGCGATGGATGCGATGACGTAATGGTTCGGCTGCGTGCGTAGTAGCCTCAGTGCCTCCGATGTATCTTGAACAGGCTCACGAGGGAGGGGGCCAGAAGAGAGTGATGCTGTTGGAACATACGCAGACTGAGGCGTCACCGACGTCGACGCGCTCAAACTGTTCGCTTCGGCGGTGGATGCAGTTGCTCTAGGTTGAGAGCGGGTTGTGCCCAGCCACCGAAGCTGCTGAGCAGGGGGGGTACCGAAGGAGCAATCGAATTTTCGGGCCTTGCCTTTCAGGCTCGAGCTTGACCCCAAGCTCAAGGAAGAAAAGAGAGATCTTAAAGCTGTAGCCGAGGAGAAAATGGGAAGAGAGGGAGGAACGATGCAATCGAAGAGTCAGCTCTTCGAAGGTCAAGATGAGCAGAAGGAAGCATGAACAGGAATCGATGGTAGAGAATAACATGGAATCCGCAGTGAACAGAAGGGGAAAGGGGGAGGACCGCCCAGATCACCTCCAATCTTGAACTTGGTTCATCCAAAATCCGAGTACCCGGTAGAGGGGAGCGAACTCACCGCTACTTGCAGCCATTCCTTCCTCAAGATGTGAAAACTTGGGAAAAGGCCGTGGTTGAGGAGGAAAAGGCGAGGGTTTTCGTAGCGGGTCGACGATTGATCGGATCCACTTGTGCAATAGAGATTACAATCGTTGCGTTTCGCGATCACGGGCTTGGTGGTTTTCTTGTGCGAGGAGGGGAAGAATTTGGGATCACGAGCCTGCGACCAGGTAGACGATCTGAGTGATGTAGAAGCAGGGCTTCCAAGAACTTGGTATCAATCCAGAGAGCCACTACTGTTTGATGGGAGTGGGTAATCCTTAGGCAGGCGTTGGTGATCAAGCACTGAAAGTTGCAACAAGTGGTCGTTTGCAGTCAAGGACCCGTGATTCTTAGCTGGATTCCAACAGTGAGGATATTCGAATCGTGGTGTGATCGGTTCTTGATTCTTCTAGCGGGGAGAGGTTGACTGATGCTGCGGCAACTCTCACCCCTCCTTATTCCTTCGCGCGGGCCCACCCGGGTCTACCAAAGTTCACCTCAGCCTCCTATCCTCAGACCTTGCTACATATTCAAGCGCACGTGTTTTGGGCAGGTCAACGATCAAAGAGGTATGAGAGAGACCGACTCGATTTTCTCAAGACGAAGACTCTGAGCGGTTACTCACTGTCACTCTCTGTCTTTAAAGTGGCACTCACTCCTCCCTTCCCTCCGAGAGACCCCGAATCGCAGAACACAGACACATAGAGACACATACTATCACACACAGACACACACAGACACACACGGACACACAAACGAATGCCACCATACAGATCATCGTCCCGTTGCAAGACGAGCAAACGGCTCTTTCAAAAGTCAGACCATAAGCTAGGGAGAGGTTCTCATCGATCGCTGTAGCCAGTCGATGAGAGGCCCTTCCGAGCGGGCAAGCCAGGGCAAACAACTCGTTGTTTGAGAGCGGGTGCATGCAAACCTTGTTATTGGGAGGTTAGGGTTATCTGTGCGCCGCCCACGACTCGAAGTTCCCTTGACCAACAGCAACTTGAAGATCTTTACTAGTCTCTCTTTTCTCTTTCTCTTTCTTTTCTTCTTCCTTTTCCTTCCTTGGTTGGTGATTAGTTCCCCAAGCATGAACTCTTATGAGATGAATAATAAAGATGACGATTCAGTAGGTCCGTGACTTACAACCTTTTTTGGATCCTTAAAAAAGGACGGAGAGATTACTCTCAGGAGTTAGAGATGAGTCGGATATGTATTCGAAACATGTTCGAGTGATCGGGAAGCTCCATTTGTTTTCCCTCATCTCATTCGCCATCTCTCTTCTCACCCCAGGCTGAACCAACCCCATCGCCTCCGAGTGCTGTGGTCCAGCGCCTTTCGACTGTGACCACCGATCCTTCCACCCTTCAATCCACTCCCCCCCCCCCCCACCCCCCAATCCCAATCCAACCC